AGATTCATCTTTACTGTCACTGCTCATTGTACAAGTTAATTACAAATTAATTTCATATCTGCTGCTGTTCATCTCATTTCCAGGTTAGAGCCACAGATTGTGAAAATGAATGATGCTAGCTTAATAAATGTTCATGTTGATTTCATTTATTTGCTACGGCTAAAAACTTTTATTTCCCGGTTATTACACAACAACAGGTGATCACAGATCTAAACTCAATCATTTGTAACCTTATTTACTTGCAAATGATGAAAACTAAACTTAATGAGATTTGATGAGGGATTTAGATTCAGTAGAATAATACTGAACCCCAACCCCAGGCCTTAAAGGTCACAGTGAACTAAGGGATGTACAAAAGGGATAGAGAGCTGATATACAGTATATCTTGTGATCTGAGATAATGATTGCAAGATGAACTCTGAAATGAGTTTGCAGAGACATGAAAGACATTTGCCCTGAATGGGTTTAATTTGGTAAAAAATCTCAATCCACTATGATAAACAGTCTAACATGTGGGGACGTTGAGGTGATGCATTCATGTGAAAAGTTGCTGTGAGTAACAAGGATCCTTCCAGACATATGAGAACGTTTTCTACCTCGGAACTGGTGATACTGCTGTTGCGTTACTTGAATGTTGAGTGTAGCAGCAAAGACCCACGAAGCCCTATTGAATGTCAGAGCTGCAGAATAGTACTGGGATGTTTTTAAACTCAGTGGTGCATAGCGAACAATTTGCTCAGACAGTTGTAAGTCATTTCATGAGGAATTGTACTTGGTTTGATAATCCTTACCCTCACTATACAGTCTGAATTGGTTCATGGTCGTCATTGAGGGGAAACTGAGGCAAACCCTCTTAACAGGGTCTTAAAGGCATAGTGTGAGGTAATGTTGGAAGTGATAGGTTCTCCCCTGGGGTTGATTAGGCTCAACCCTGTAACTTTCACTTAATGGGATATGACCCCTCGGAGCCCCAAGTCTCTGACAACACACACACGCCCAACCATTACTACCACACACAGACACATAGACACACACACAGTTCACACATTCCCCCCTCAGCCCTCAAACTCCCCACTGCACCAACTGCTGTTTAGTTTAAAGCAAGGCTGCCGGCAATTAACTGTGTTATGTCAAGCTTATTCTCTGGCTGTTGCTCGCTGGGTAAACTGTTACAATTGGTCCCCAGCAGCCGACTCGGCAGAACAGTAAGTATGTGTCTGTGTTATCACAGCATGGTTTTAAAAAGTCCACAGAGGATCACAGAGTACAGTGTAGGATTTCTAGCTGGTTAGCCAATGTAGAGCCATTAGCCTATTGTTTTGCCTTGGCAACAAGTTGGTGAAGTCTAAAAAGAAAAATACATCCTTGAATTTGCACATTGTTGACGTACAAATTTCAGGGAAGAAGCTAGCTACGACTTCCAAAGTGCATTTTGTCAAGAAACATCCAATCAAGTTTGGTCAAATTAGTTTACATTAGCCACCATAAGATTCTGGTTATACTAGACCAAGTAAGACAGTTGAACTGAACAAGGGTGTGATTTCATTTTTAAAAGGAAGAATGTGTTATGTACATTTACATGCACATTATTATCCTGGTTTTGATCTTATTTGAGATAGGATGTGTACATGGAACATGAAAAACCTTGGTTAAACAGCACCTAGGTTTCTAATTATGTGTATGCAGGTGTGCATTGGTTCCTCAGCGTCTCAGCCACTCATTTCTGTAGCAACAGGGACTGTTCAGAAACCTGGATCAGGTGTTTACATGCCACAGTGTCCTAGTTTCTATCAGAGTACTCCTGCTAACATATCAAGCTTTTGTCAAAACCAGGATAAGGCCTTATCCTGGTTTCTGAAACCAGGATATGATGTTGCACGTTACATGTGCAACAAATAGTCCTACTTTAAGTCTCTTTGTCCAATAATAATAATGTTCATTTATTGTTAATGGTTTTTCAGCTATTTAATTTCAGTCGTTGGCAGCTGCTGTGTTATCTTCTTTTCAGCGAAAGTGAAATAGCAAGGATTTTGGTTTGAAAGCATGCTGTAGGCAGATCAATCCAACCAAAATCCAACCTCCTTACTAATTTCAATTTTTTTAGTGACATTAAAACCTTTCCAAGTCTGTCTGGTTTCAGGATAATCAGGTCTGCCAGTGAGGGGATTCTTTCCATGAAGGATCTAAGCTGACATCCCCGCAGACACTAACTTGTGGAGAGGAACATCCATATTTTCTTCTCATTTGATTGTGTTCCCACTTATGTAATAGGTCACCACAATAACAAACGGGTTTTTTACGGTAAAAGCCTAATTTATCCGCCAGATATTAATCTCTAACTGTTGTCTTGCAATTCACTGCAATGACAGGCAGACCTTTTAAATAAACACTGATGGTGACCAGAGCGAGGGAGGGCCATCGCTCTTGACGAGTGATGATCCCCTCTGCTATCTCTATGCGCTTGGAGGCCCAAACAGTTTATTTCGTGTTTGCAGTCACTTCCTAGGGGTTGTTAAGCTGATGTACAGTTTGACAGAAACAGAGGGAAACCAGATCATCGGAGGAAGATTGTTTTGACCTGATAAGTAGAAATAGGTACATTAGGGTGAAAAATGGAGCAAAACACTGAAACTATGGGATTAGTCTTGTATTCAGTTTACACAGACAGATGCCACATGCTGCTAAATTCTTTTGTGAGAATGTGGGCCGAAATCTGCTCTTATTTTGTGATTAAAAGGGGCTACGTACTAATTCATAAGTCAAGCGCCATAACAAGAACATGCACAAAATCAAGGACTGTCATGTATAGTGGTGCATTTTCTATTAGAATATATTTCGACAAAATACAAAGTCAAGGTTAGTCTTAATCATACCTCATGATCTTCATTAGCAGATAGATTTTGCCCAGTTTACACAAAGTTTAAATGAAAAAAACTATTGGCATTTTATGGTTGAAGTACTCAGTACAATGGAAGTTTGAACATCTGTAGCTACATAACAACTGGCCAAAGTCCATCTACTGATCAAGAAAAGCTCTACAACAAATACTAAATTGACCTTTTCTTCAGAATAGATTGTCAACTGCTTTTTTCCAAGTCGAACTTTGTAACTTAGCTTGGTAGAAGAGCTGAAACTCACAGTAATTTTCATTGTGGATTAATCTGCTGATTGTTTTCTTGGTCTATTGTAAATGTAAAAAAAAAAAACCCAAATATATTAAATTTAAAATAATATGTGTGACAAAGACAAGCAGCAAATACTCACGTTGTTCCAGTTATTAGAAGATTAGAATATATACGTTTCTGCTCTATAACATAGAATTTGAAGGTGATTGACAGCTTCTTTTTTTTTTAATTCTCCGTGCCTAGCTTTGATTTTCTGCTTCACCTGATGCTTATACTGTACCCATGGGAACTACACCTTTTTTTACTTACAGTAACGTGCCTTCCTCAGCTTCTGAGCCACTATGTTAATGTTGGCTAATCTGACTGTGACACATGATTGATAACCTTTCCCAAGTGTGCAGGATCCAAAGGATTAGTTGTGTTTATTTCTAGTAGCATGCTGGTTACCTCCGCTGTTAATGACTGGAATTAATAACCTGCTGACGCCTATGAGACAGCCGTGTTTATGTACAGGCAGAGACATGACAGCCTGTCCTGGACATTGAGTAGTTGTAAAAGTGTCTGCCCTTGCCCAGGACGGTTTTTGTTTATATGTCACTTACAGTGATGGTAATATGCATTTTAGTTTAAAATGATTCTTTTAAAATTTTATTTTTTCAACCTCTGTGGATTGGCCTTTAACATTTTTGGGTCATATGACTTACTGAGATATTAATAATACTGGGTTAGTGCAGTGTTTACATTTCTTCCTCATGTATCTGTCTCTCTCTTTCCCTGCTTCTGGCTTTATCCTCCCTCACACACACACACTCTCTCTCTCACACTCTCTCACTCTCTCACACACACACACACACACACACACACACACACACACACACACACACACACACACACACACTAAGGGGCATGAGAACAGGGTAAATCCTTGACAACTTCAATGAAACCTCACACAAAGAGTAAAACTCGGGGGGACGAGAGAAATGCAACACCGTACAGTAGCCTGACCTCCTCCAGCTAACATAGTCATGTATGCACCAGATAGCGGGCGTGGCCGGCTTTCTGCACAAAGCCAGAAATAAAGAGCGAAGCTATTGCTTTCAGCAGCAAGACCCCCAGGTGACCTTCCTCATCGACCCCAGTGTGACCCCATAGTGAGGAAGGAGAGAAGCAAAGCGCCTGGTATCAGTGCACAGGAGTCGAATGCACAGAGACGCGATCACAATAGCTAAAAAGGAAGGCGCTGTCATTGTGTGCTCACAGTAAATCAGCATGAAGGTGACAGTCCCAGTTCTTGGGCCTGTGTGCCCACCTTAAAGGCCGGCACACTCATAAGTCAAACTGTTTTCTCCATCTACACTCTCACTGTGAGTGTAGCCTGAAGACTTCGGTCATCCACATATTGTTTCTTAAGTATTTCTCTGCAGCTGGGCTGGTTTGTCTGTTTCGGGTCAAACAGAGGCTCATGGCTTCGGGGTGCAACTGTACTAGGCTTACACTGAGGAATGTGTCACATCAAGCTTTAATACCAGCTGGGAAAGGAAGCTTGGGGCTACTGAATTGATCACGTCCACTCTCAAATCCCCTGAAATGACTCCCTCCATAAATTAAAAGATACAACAATCAGTGGACGCTGCAGCTGGGTTTGAAAGCAACATAACAAATGAATTATGCTTTGTTTTCACGTCTTTATGTGCACCATCCCTGTACACTAGGCAGACTCCTTCCATCTTAACTCAAGCGTAAACAGTTATCTTTTTTGTTTATGTTCTGATATATGACAGTTAACCCTGCGCGAGTGCTGTATAACCACCCTATAAATCTATCTATCTATCTTTTGCAAGTTTTCTCACATGTCACACTGTGTTTTGTCCACAGTCGACCTGGAGCACATGAGGACAGTGAAGGCTGACAAACACCAGCGCTTCTGCCAAGAGAACAGCCTCGTCAGTCAGTTTGTATCGGCCAAGACAGGGGACTCGGTTAGTACCAGCTGATTCAATAAATCAATATAAAGTTGTGAGTGACTTTCATAATACTTACGTTTTTTTCTTGTTACCTCTTTTTCCAGGTATACCTTTGTTTCCAGAGGGTGGCTGCTGAAATTCTTGGTGTAAAGCTAAACAAAGCAGAAATAGAGCAGTCCCAGGTAAGCCACAATGGTGTCAAGGTCTTTCTCTCACATTGCACCGAAATTTCTATGCAGCTCCTTCCTAACCTACATTTTAAATGGCTTACTTTTGCCTCTAACTAGTATTTTGCTCTGCTCTGCACTTATCCAGCCACTGTGTTTTAAATTTGGATCAACTGGTAAAAGAGTGAAAGTAGCTGGTGATGTGTTTGGGTTCATCTCTTATGTGAAATGTTATGCCTGAACTTAAGGGAGGTCACAGGGAGTGTGTTAGGTCAGTGGAGGTCACCACACACTGTAAAGGACCTTTTGCTGTATAAACATGAGTTTGTTACGTCTGCCTCCTATGATGGTCTACCTGCCAATGCCACTGCCCATCTGTAAATACACCCACATTGACCACATTAACGCGTGAAGTCAGAGGTTAAAGGTAGGCAGTTGTAGGGGTGAGGAGGTTAGAATTGACTGTCTGATTTATTTGGTTTATCTCCCACTGTTGTGGGCCAAAACAAAACAGGGTCTCAACTTGCCAGCCAGACCAAGGTGCCCAATGGTGGCAGCTGTAGAATTTACAAGGTCACCTCCCCCAGAAGCATTAATCCTGGGTCTGATATGACCGGTTGGAGCCACTCTGGCTGGGTAGTGGTTGATGAGCCTGGGGGGCTACAGAGAGGTCAGGACCTCTAGACAAGGGAGAGCATGTAGGGGAAGGACTGGCCAAATTCTCAAGCCCCTCTCCACTCACTAACACTGCTGCTGACTAACTAAAAATGTCCATCGGCTAATGGGGCTGTCCATCTACTTTCCTCTTCCTCCCCTCCCTTGATAGCTCTGTCAATAAAGCAAAGTGCTTTAATCCGGGCTAATCAAGCAGGGTGAGTGGATGGATAAAGTTCTAGTGTAATCAGGAGGAAAAATTACTTTTTGTTCACAAGCCCATGTGTCTAGTGGACTCTTTCCTATGCTCATCACTATGTTTGTCAAGACTAGTTCTACAACAAAAAAGAAATCTCAAAAGCATGAGAATACCAGGGCATTCCTGAAACTTCTCTCTTTAAATCAGGAAAAGTATACAGTGGGGTCCAAAAGTCTGAGACCACTTTACCATTCACTTGAATTAGAAAACTTCCAAAATCTGCTGAATTCTATTTTTACCACATTTTCGAAAAACATTCAATAAACGATGCTGGTTTGATCTCCAGCTTCAACCAAGTATTATTTCCATTATTCATTAATCTGACAATTGAAAAAAGAATTCAGAAAAAGGAAAATGTATATAATTTAATACTGTTGAAAATGAGAGGACTGACTTTCTGAGTTTGTGTCACTGATACAGAGATGATGCTTTGAGCACTTCATGGCTTTGGTAGCTGTGGGGCCAGCGAAGTCTCATTATCAGTTGTCAGGTTCAGAGAGCTGAACATGAGGGTCACAACCCTTGACAGTATTATATCTGCCTGGCAGCTCTCTCCGTCATGGTCCTCTGTCTGCTAGATCAGATACAGAGGCTGCAGATCACTCACTGACTCTGACACCAGGCTTCGGCAGCTCGTTAATCAGACAGCCAACCAGGGCCTGGTATTTAGCCATGTGGTCGCCTCTTCTGTGGATATTTAGCAAAGGGTCCAGCTGTCTGTTGCACCATTAAGATCAAATGTAGACTTATTTCAACAGAAACTTCAGAACGTTTTCAACAAAAGAGTTGTAGACATCACATACTGATCAGTGGTATGTTTCATATCCTTGTAAACTTATTATTTCTTAAATTTGGAGTGTGGTTTTGACAAAACCAGCAATTTCAAGATATCATGTGAGATCTAGGAAACTGCTCTGGGCATTTCTTTTTGCCATTTATTGACATTTCAAAACCAAATAATTCATCAATTAATTGAAAGGTAATCTCCAGACAATATATGACAGATTATAATGAAAATAATCAATAATAGCAGCTTTTATTTGCAGTGTTTTCTTTCTTAAGCTTAAAGAGTGATTTTGTGTCATAGATTTTTTATTGGAAAATTCAAATGAGTCAGATTCTAACAGATTCAAGATGTCACACTTCATATTTTTTGTCTGTTTCTTACATTTCTTGTTCATTTCTCTCACTCCATGACCCTCTCCTCATCCTTTCCTATTGATTCCCCTCACCCTTCCTGGCTTCGGTCTTCATTCTTCCCGCCCTCGCCCTCCTCCCCCATGCCTTGGTCCTTTTTCTGTTTTCTTTTTTGTTTCGTCTCTCTGCCTCCGTCACTCCACTGCTCTGACATGTTGAACCTGCTCAGAGGATCGTGAAGGCTGAGCTGGTGGACTACCCACAGGATGAAGGCCCAATTAGACAAGAGAACAACCAGCAAAGCAAAATATGTTCTGTTCAATAGCTGGAAGTATGTCTGCACAGTTACACAGATATATTTCAGTGGATCTGTCATATATCTGGTAGAATGCAGAGACAGTAGCTTTGTAGTTAAAATAGTGAAATCATGGTAGTGAATTTATTTAATGCCTGTGGTTCAGATTAGAGCTCTAGAAAAAGTAGAGAAACCCATCAGACTAATAGAACAATATGTTGTGTTTTCATAGAGTTGTAGTATTTTGCTAAACTGTTCTATGAATCCAAACTATGTGTACTTTGGTGAGCTGGTTGAGAGTTATGTAGTGAGGAAAACCTTCATGATGGAGACAGACACCACTCCAGTTCGGCCTCCATCTGCCTCCTGACTGGTTCGGGTCAGGACTACACAAACATTTTGACCTGTAAATCATAGTTGGATTTTGAATGTTAAAGAAACTGAAAATTTTGCAAAACATTCTTTATCACCAAGAGTTAGATGAGAAGATGGAAATCGCTCTCATAGTTGTCACTTAGATATAAAGATATAGCCAGGAGATGGTTAGCTTAGCATAATGATGCAGTCTCAGTTGGTTGCCTAACATCACAGTGCTTCACCTGGCAAGAAACAGTCCATTGAGTTACTTCCTTTAAAGCAATAAATGATCATTTTGACACCTAACTTTTTGTCGGGATTTAATTAAAAAGATATAACATGTTCATTAATTAGCTTTAGAGGTGCTGGTGAGTTTCAGGGTGAGTCGCCTACTGTTTTGTTTTTTAAGTCTCTCTGTGTTCAGCTCTCAGTTCTTTCATAGCTTCTACCTGCATCTTCTGTATTTTCAGCCTCATTTTCACTGTGATGATTTGACTCTTTGTTCATATTGTTGTGGAAGCTTTTTAATTCTGTGTGTGTGTGTGTGTGTGTGTGTGTGTGCATCTTTTCAGCGTGTGGTGAAGGCAGACGTTGTGAACTACAGTCAGGACACCGTGGCCAGGACAGTCAACCCCCCTCGCAGCTCCATGTGTGTGGTGCAGTGACCCCCTCCCAAACCCACACCCACCCACACACCCACAAATACAAACACACACACACACACACACACACACACACACACACACACACACACACACACACACACACAAATGTAAAATCGTCTTCGGTCAGTATTCCTTTTACTACTATTTCAGGATTTTTAAGGTGACTGGATGAGATGTGTTCCGAGTGTGTTTTCCGTATTCCTGTGTTGTACGGGTGAGATGAAGAACAGACTGTGCTGTTTTGCGGCCTTGGCCTCTTGTTCAGATATTTAGCAGGAATGATTCCTAGCGTGGTTTACCAAAAAGGAAACGGGACCTCAGTTTTTTTCAAGTTTACACGCAGCTATCATTTTATTTCTATGACTCATTTTTAATATATATAAATATAAGGGGCATTTGTTTTAATGATTAGATATGCTGCAGTATATTTCTTAAGATAACACCATCAACACCTGTTGAATTGTCTCTGTCCCTACAACTGCAAAGTGGATTCATGATAAGAATGTATGGGACGCAGACAGGAAGGTGAAACCACATGGTCTCTCATGAATTTTTGAGAACTTGTTTTATGTCTTTGGTGCTCCTCAGTTAAACAGAATGGGAAATGGGCGTTAAAATGTTGTAGTGGACTGAAATTAATCTCTGTTTTCAATTTGCCAATTAGGGGCTTGCACTAGCAGTGCTGTGACGTGAACTGTGTACTGTTATTTTAAATAGAAATATTTCAGTTTTACAATCTTAAAATCAAGATTTACATTTTATATTCTTTATTCCTCAGATTATATCCAAATCCTTTGCATCTCTGAAATAATTTCTCCATTCTCTAGATGTTTCTTGTAGAGTCTACATTGCATTTTGACAATTTAACATTTTCACACGATGTGACATGGCCGGGTTCATCCTGATAGAGGACAGTTCAGATGCTGTGTTGATCAAGTGTTGATGAAGCTAGATGATCATGACTCAGGAAGTACCTGAGTGTGAAGCTAAGCCCGAGCTGAGCTGAAATGTACAACATTTTATTAGGTCTCTACATAGCCTTATTCAACTGTCCGTTATAGAACAGAAGTTTGCATCGAAGAATGGCTATGATGCATAAAATGTTTCATAGGATCTTCATCTTATTAGCTTGTTTTACAGTTTGTGTACTGTTAGAGACGACTGAGATATTGTATGTTTAACCAGTTTTGTCAAAATAGTTTCCACAGTAGATGTTGGTATGATGGGATTTAATGTGGTGTGTACCTACCGATTTATCTGCCATATGTGTTTGTACAATAAAAGCAACCTCCGCTCCATTTCAAAGCTCCTTTCATAGATTAAAAATCATCACAACGCATCCTGTAAATTCTGATGATGTAAACAAAATGTACTCTTTAAAAAAATTAATGAATGTACAGTTTAAAGTGAACGTTTAGTTGACGTTATACAGCAACACAGTTTTGTGTTTCTAAATAAAAATGCTACATGGAAAAAAGTAATTATTTGTGCAGTGCATCTGTGAATACATGCTCTTTGTGTGATCTTTGAATTAATTTGTGTAAATTACAGAGTGTCAGCAGGTCTCGGAAAGTCTGTTCTTCAAAAAGGGTTCAGAAGGTATTAAAGAATCTTAAATTTAAAGAATCTTAAACTTACACAAGTCTTACATATATTCTTTAGCCAACTGCAGGCAGAAATATTATTTACAAAATATCAGGTGACGTTATAGACTTACAGAGCTTTGTGCCTGCAGGAAGCTGCTCAATCCATTTTTGTGGAGTTTCAGTTGGCATCATTCATTGTTATGAATTCATCAAGCTACAAATTTACAAACTTAAACACAGTGGGTATTTGATACTCGAAAGATAGATTTTCAGTAGATTATTCCTTTAACTGGGGACTTCTGAGTTCTGTAACACTCACACTGTTATTACTGCTGGGTACAGGACTTGGGAAGCCCATTGTCTCAAAATGGGCAAGTTTCCATTTTTAGCAAAAACCAAAATAAATTAATCATTTTCAATTCTTTAATCGAATTCTTTAGTCTGCCACTTATATGTGCTCAAGTTACATTCATGTAATTATTTATTATCATTATCATTTATTATTATTTTCATCATACTTTCACACTTTGGCTGGTAGTAACCTTCACATCTTTCCCACAGACCAAAGTGAGAACTTAAGATGTCACCTTGGTCTCTAGGAATTAGAATTTAATTTGGCAAGCCATGCATATATCCTGAATTAGCAAATTATGTTAGTTTTAGTAGTATACTTTTACTACAATATGAGCTCTATGAATGTGCGCAGAGTTTCTCATTACTCAGCCTTTGTTAGCTTATTGCCACATTTGGGCCTTAGTGTCACTGCAATTTTTCACTTGATGATGATAATGTAAACCAACAGGAACAGGCCCCGGAGGTGCTCATACGAGCAGCAGATGATGGGAACCGGACTATAGCTGATGAGGGCATTACAGATTAAGCATCAATGTGTTGAAATTTAAGCATAAGACTGAAACTTGACCACCCCAGAGATCCCCCTCCATACAGACTAACCTGAGTCTCTGGTAGCTAATGAGCCACCTGGTCTTTGTTCAGTAAATCTTCACTGAAACAGCCCCTAAATCCACTCTGGACAGATGATACAAACGGCTTTATAAATGGTTGTAAGCTGTATTAATTAATCACCTAAGTAGTCCAGCCCTTTGTTGCTGTCACACAACTGTAAGAGGGTTCTGGTTTTGGGTTTAGCCTTTTTTTTTTTTTTTTTTTTTTTTTTGCTGAGTCAACGTCACTGAAACCGCTCGTGTATTTAGAAGGATTAAGTGCATTCAAAAGCACAAACAAAATAAAGACTATATCTTTACTGGAACATGCCTAAACCCAAAACCAGAACCCTCTTACAGTTTGTGTGACAGCAACAAAGGGCTGGACTACTTAGGTGATTAATTAATACAGCTTACAACCATTTAATAAGCCGTTTGTATCATCTGTCCAGAGTGGATTTAGGGGCTGTTTTCAGTGAAGATTTACTGAACAAAGACCAGGTGGCTCATTAGCTACCAGAGACTCAGGTTAGTCTGTATGGAGGGGGATCTTGGGGTGGTCAAGTTTCAGTCTTATGCTTAATTTCAACACATTGATGCTTAATCTGTAATGCCCTCATCAGCTATAGTCCGGTTCCCATCATCTGCTGCTCGTATGAGCACCTCCGGGGCCTGTTCCTGTTGGTTTCATTATCATCATCAAGTGAAAAATTGCAGTGACACTAAGGCCCAAATGTGGCAATAAGCTAACAAAGGCTGAGTAATGAGAAACTTGCGCACATTCATAGAGCTCATATTGTAGTAAAAGTATACTATACTAAACTAACATAATTTGCTAATTCAGGATATATGCATGGCTTGCCAAATTAAATTCTAATTCCTAGAGACCAAGGTGACATCTTAAGTTCTCCACTTTGGTCTGTGGGAAAGATGTGAAGGTTACTACCAGCCAAAGTGTGAAAGTATGATGAAAATAATAATAAATGATAATGATAATAAATAATTACATGAATGTAACTTGAGCACATATAAGTGGCAGACTAAAGAATTCGATTAAAGAATTGAAAATGATTAATTTATTTTGGTTTTTGCTAAAAATGGAAACTTGCCCATTTTGAGACAATGGGCTTCCCAAGGTCCTGTACCAGCAGTAATAACAGTGTGATGTTTACAGAACTCAGAAGTCCCCAGTTAAAGGAATAATCTACTGAAAATCTATCTTTCGAGTATCAAATACCCACTGTGTTTAAGTTTGTAAATTTGTAGCTTGATGAATTCATAACAATGAATGATGCCAACTGAAACTCCAACAAAAATGGATTGAGCAGCTTCCTGCAGGCACAAGAGCTCTGTAAGTCTATAACGTCACCTGATATTTGTGTAAATAAATATTTCGCCTGCAGTTGGCTAAAGAATATATGTAAGACTTGTGTAAGTTTAAGATTCTTTAAATTTAAGATTCTTTAATACCTTCTGAACCCTTTTTGAAAGAACAGACTTTCCGAGACCTGCTGACACTCTGTAATTTACACAAATTAATTCAAAGATCACACAAAGAGCATGTATTCAAGCATGCACTGCACAAATAATTACTTTTTCCATCGTGCATGTAGCATTTTTATTTAGAAACACAAAACTGTGTTGCTGTATAACGTCAACTAAACGTTCACTTAAACTGTACATTCATAAATTTTTTTTAAGGAGTACATTTTGTTTACATCTCAGAATTTACAGGATGCGTTGTGATGATTTTTAATCTATGAAAGGAGCTTTGAAATGGAGCGGAGGTTGCTTTTATTGTACAAACACATATGGCAGATAAATCGGTAGGTACACACCACATTAAATCCCATCATACCAACATCTACTGTGGAAACTATTTGACAAAACTGGTTAAACATACAATATCTCAGTCGTCTCTAACAGTACACAAACTGTAAAACAAGCTAATAAGATGAAGATCCTATGAAACATTTTATGCATCATAGCCATTCTTCGATGCAAACTTCTGTTCTATAACGGACAGTTGAATAAGGCTATGTAGAGACCTATAAAATGTTGTACATTTCAGCTCAGCTCGGGCTTAGCTTCACACTCAGGTACTTCTGAGTCATGATCATCTAGCTTCATCAACACTTGATCAACACAGCATCTGAACTGTCCTCTATCAGGATGAACCCGGCCATGTCACATCGTGTGAAAATGTTAAATTGTCCAAAATGCAATGTAGACTCTACAAGAAACATCTAGAGAATGGAGAAATTATTCAGAGATGCAAAGGATTTGGATATAATCTGAAGAATAAAGAATATAAAATGTAAATCTTGATTTTAAGATTGTAAAACTGAAATATTCTATTTAAAATATAACAGTACACAGTTCACGTCACAGCACTGCTAGTGCAAGCCCCTAATTGGCAAATTGAAAACAGAGATTTAATTTCAGTCCACTACAACATTTTAACGCCC